AAAAGAGAGAGATCGCTATAGATGATCAGTTTCGAAGATAAAAGATTATGATATAAAGTACTTAGTTCGTTCAATATTTGCCAAAAAAAAAAAAAAAAAACGCTAAAAAAAACCACTAATAAAAGCGAACTCTAAGCGCCGGAAAACTTGTGTACGCAGCGAAAGAAAGAAAATCTCATTGCATAGCAGACATTGATTTTGTTGAAAAGCGTTTTTCTTTCTAGTTTGCTTCAAATACCCTACGACATGGATATATAATATTATTTAGTGCGTGTTGGCCTGCTGGAAAGACACCTTAAAAAAGACAGTACTTAGAATCTTAAACACACCATATCTACACAAGGGCTGTGGCTATGTTTGCCTTCTACATAGCTGCTTGGGCTTCGAGTACTTTTTATCTCTTTTATGTTGAGCAATTTCCGGATCGAAAATACACTCACAAGCGATTCGAATAACCGTAACACTTGTAAGTAAGTAGCATATGGTCTAGGTAATATGTGTAAGTGGTTTGGTAGCTCACAGATATGAACTTGTTTGAATGGCTGAAGATTAGCGAATTCTCGCATGTACTATTAATTGGACAAAACGTATCTTGGGAATTGAACAAAAGTTAATGCTTGATTAAAAACTTTGTAGCAACTTTTTCATTAAAAAAAAAGTGTATATATAGATAAATTTGTCACCACATGTAAGTATGGTGTATCATAAAGTAGTCTTCTGCTAGAACAATTATGTGCAAGCTAAAATCAATAAGATAACTTAGTTTGATTTTTGTCTAATAAGGGGTGATACCATTTCGAAAGGTTCTCTATTTAAAACAATTGGGGAATTTTTATTATCAGTCGAAAGGATATTATTTGGCTTTTATTTTTTGAAGGTTATGTTTTCCAAATGTTAGCCGCGGCTGCGTCTCAGATGGTCCATCCGTAGAGTCCAATTTTCGATTACTCGTTTGAGCATTTCGACTGAATCGATGCGGGATTGTCCGCATAGACTTTAGACTTTACATATCCCCACAGGAAAAAGTCTAACGTTGTGATATCGCACGATCTTGGTGGCCAATCGACCGGCCCAAAACGTGAAATTATCTGATCACCGAAGATAATGTCAATAATTGCATTAGTTGATGCTGTACGGCAATTTTGCTTGTTTACATACTTATTGAGTCAGAAATGGGGCTCATCGCTGAACAAAATTTGGCTCGAAAACGTCGGATCTGCTTGAAGTTTTTCAAGAGCTCATAAAGCGAAGCGCTGTGGCTTGGGAACGTCGAGCGGTTTCAGTTCTTGCACAAGCTGTATTTTGTGCGTATTCAATTCAAGATCTCAACGTAAAAACCGCCAAGTCGTTCCATACGACAATCCGAGTTACTGCGAACGCCGGCGAATCGACTCTCCATGGTCTTCGTATACACTCTCAGCTACGGCTGCTATATTTTCTTCACTGCGTGCTGGACGTGGACGTCGAATATTATCCATAAATGCCCCGGGGGCTTAAGATGGTGATGTGTTGGAATAGTACGCTCATTTGCCTGAATTAGTTGACATAAGTTCGAAGCGAAGCGCGCGAAACACATTCTTTACAGAATTTTTTGTAATAAAGTTCAAACGATTTGTAAACGTTGTTCTGGCTAAGTCTTTCCATGATTCCAACAATACTGAAACAAAATAACATGATAGCTTGACACGAACTCCGCGTGATCTGTCAAAAAAAAAAAAGGATGTTAAAAAAAAGTACCGCCTACTTGGATCAAACCCGTTATAAATACTTTGTTTTTTCTTCAATAAAGGGCTTGTTATAACAGTATTTTTATATGAAATGGGTATGACCTAATCGATCGAAACGGTCTGAAAATATTTCATTTAAAGAAGTCGTCAATAAAACTGTAACTTTTTGACATCAATTCACCAGCTGAATCATGTTGGCCTACACCTCTAAAATGTGTCGTAAGAGTTCAATGACCAAATAACAGTACGTAACTACACATAACATATTTATACGCTGGAGAGGGATATTAAAGTTTTTTCACGAGAATTTTTGGTAAACACCCTAACAGGAACTTTGAAGAGTCTAATAAAGTATTGTGGTAAGTATACATACATAAATGATGAGCTGAGTCCGTTTTAGGCTCGTACAGTCCGTTGGTTTTTGAGATATCATTCCGAAATTTGTACACTTTTTTTTCTCACCAAAAAGCCTGCCTCATTTCTAGAAATCGCCGAATATCGGACCAACTATTCATATAGCTGCCATACAATTGACCGATCCAAATCAAGTTCTGATATGGAAAACTTTTTTATTAGAAAAATTATCTTCACAAAATTGTACATAGATTTTTTTTCCAAGGCAACACTACAATATCCAAAGAAATTGTTCAGATCGGATTACAATAACATATAGTTGCCATACAAGCTAGCCAATACAAACCAATCACGAAATTCGGCATAAAATATTATCCACGGTGGCGCTACAATCTTCGAACATATTGTTCAGATCGGACTATTATAACATATGGCTGCCATACAAACCGATCTGTCAAAATCAAGTCCTTGTGTGGAAAATTTGAAATTTTTTTATTTGACAAGATATCTACAAGAAATTTGGCACACATTATGATCATTCAAATTTGGCCACCAAAAGATTGTGCGCTTTGACCTCATCAAACACATTCTTCTTATATGATTATCTCACAGAAAGAAAGAAAGATAAAGAGCTAATAGCAAATTATTTGAAAATTTTTTTGGATAGTAATTCTGAGTTTATCTATAAACCAACACGCCCAGACTTCAATAAAAATCAGACGACATTATATAGAGAAAAGTATGCGAAACCTTTTTAATTTCGCATTTTTTGTGGTGTTTTATTTAATTCTTTTTTTTTTGCGTCTATTATTTTTAATGAAATTTAATATGTTTTGACATTTGATCTTTTATAAATTGCCATTATTATTTATGTACTAATGTAAAATCCCGCACTTAATAATCATTATTGTAAAACTTTGCAATGAATCGGAACAGGGTCAGAAAAAGGACGTAATGTTAAATAGAAGAAGGTAGGTTAAGTGGGCACTTAAAAGCGAACCGACAATCACCTAACACATGCATACATTACACAAAATGACACACTGACTACTCTCGCTTTATTTATTCTACTACACACTGATTTCAAGCCAAACCACAGCTGATCAGGCCCACGGAACCCCCCCGGCAATTCCCCGCTATAAATAATGCTAAATTTGACTCGCGCTCATGAAATAGTAATGCGGAAAATCTTTGATATGCACAACGCCTTTATTGCGTCGCACTTCGCAACACAACTTAACATACTGTCTGATCATTATATATTACTTTTCCAATATTTTTACTCTTTTATATTATTTAATTAAGTTTGCTTTTAACATTTGGCTATGTTGGTAGTTGTTAGGTGGGATTCCAACAACCTTTCTCATTGTCGCTGTGGGCAGCGAGCAGCCGAAGAAACGCTTAATCCAGTATTTTGTAGCAATTGTAAAGCGGTGGAATGTACCTCACCGCTAGTAGGTGGACACAGCCGGTCATTAGCAGTGGACGCGTTATAACCGGAGGTGTGTGATCACAAAGGATATTCTCTGTAAAAAAAAAAATAAAAAACCAACAATAAAAAAATTTAATGGAACATGATAAATTATCTTTGAAATCAAAAGCTGCTTATATATATATTTCTTTTTTGTTATTTAATTATTTACTGTAAATGATTTATTTTCCGAAATTATAATATGGAAAGCAATTACTGTTATTTTCGCTAAATTGAAATTCAAAAAAAAAAAAATAAGCTCGAATATTCTTCTCTTGGTGTAGACTTTGCTTCTCAGATAAATTCAGAAAAGCAGTCAGGGGAGTCAAACCTCGAGAATCTTCAATATGCGATGTCAATGTACCTGTTTTTGGCAATCGAGCGGCGAGGGGATTTTTCCAAAAAGATAACTACATAAATATTGTAATCAGATATTGAATATTAAACGGTCAAGGGCTTTTTAAGGCATTTACGGGCAGGCCGTTATCAGTTTTATCAATTATTAACGCCGCCACACAGTGTGAAATGAGCCTATAATGAACCAACCGGATCTCAATTGTTCTCAGCAAAAATACATTTTAATGTTTGAATGGCTCGAGTGAATAAAGTATGGCGCTTAATGTAGGCAACGTTATTTTTTATAGATAAAAGTATGTGACTTCGATAACATAAACTTGATTTTGATCGATCAGTTTGTATGGCAGCTTTTTCTTATTGTGGTCCAATCTGAACAATATATTCGGAGATTGTAGCCTTGCCTTGGGCAATAATCCATGCCAAATTTTGTGAAGATACCTTGTCAAATAAGTAATTTTTTTATAGAAGAACTTGATTTCATCAATCAGTGTGTAAAGCTGCTACAACACCCCATTTGGCCGTTATCGGCTTCCGACAAATCAGCAGCTTTTTGGGGAGATAAGGAACGGTGCGAAATTTCCGATCGATATCTCAAAAACTTAGGCATTATAGACAGACGGACATGGCTAAATCGACGCAACTCGTCACGCTCAAAATTGCTGCTGATACCAAAAAGTAGGTTAAGAAGTGTTATCTAAGCAATATGCTAGGCGAATCAACTAATTCGTAAGTGCTCAATCTCGTACAGGACATATGAGCACCGAAGACGATGACGCAGTTGAGTTTCAAAAGCGGTTATTACGAACGAAAACTTAAAAATACATAAATATTTTGGACGCACCGTAAATGGGGTTGAAACGAGCTAGCTGACATAACGGATATGCAACAAGCTTCGGTGAAATGGTATGTATTGCTTTCCAGATCCGCCTTAGTGAAATTTTTCGTAATACTTAATAACCAAAGATTGGTCGCGATAGGAAATTTAACTAACAATGAAAGAATAAGCGCCGAAACCGAAGCCTATATTGAAGCAAAAGCCAAAACGTACTACAAAAATGGTATCGAAACCATCGTTGAATATTAAATTCGAACTACACCAAAAAACTTGGAGTTTCTTTGATGCGATACAGTCTCTTAATCGCACCTCTCTTAATGATACACACGAGTATTCTCCACATATACGGTAACGAGAAATAGAATAAAAATGCTGACAATATTTCTTTACAAAAAATCAACTTTCAACTCCACAAATACATATACATACGTTGTAGCAAAAATGCAAGAAATTTTTTTAGTTCTTGCCACAAAAACAGAAATTGTCATAAAAACAAAACGAACTAAATTTAAAGAAGCTTAGTTGATACATATACATAAATTTATTTTTTCATGCCGAATCCGTTGCTTAGGATCAGTTCTAGGGACGACACAGCAAGCAATCAAATGCATGTTAAGGGAAAGACAAACAAAAACCCAATGCTGATGTGGAACATACACAAGTGGAATTATGTGTATGTATATGGACAAACACTTGTAAATATGTTTGCCGATGGCTGGTGCAAAGGGTTAAGCGAGGATAGTACGACAGTAAAATATCAAAACCATTGAGATGTAAGCGAATTTTAATTCGAAGAAGGCAATTTAATTTTACTGCAGTGCCTAAGAAATCACGTGCGTTTTTGGAATTTCAAATATGCTGCATGGAATATATTCTATAAATATATACAAGCGCTGGAGCGCACGATCCCGAAAGCATAATTGTTACCTAAATTTATAAAGAGTGCAAGGTGTAATATCAAATAAAAAACAATAACTATATTAGAACTGACTTCTAAAAATATTTTTAGTAAAGTAGCTTTCGGTGAGTCGCGGGTTCAATAACAGTCAGCTGTTTAATCTTAAACTTTCATTATGTAACCGAAAACTACAAAATTCGTAAACAATAGGTTACTTTTCGGGCGATAGGGTAAGAACTGAATTGAACTAAGTATATAAAAACTAAAGGTATTCTTTTATTAATTAGTATATATAATTTTTATATTGAAACCCGAACGAATCCCGAGACACAAATCAGCACAGCAAGAGAGCAACAAAATCGCATTCCAATATAATTTTATGCCTTCCCAGAAGTATAGCACTTAGCTTCAAGTCAAAGACTATTGAAAAGTATGTAAAGATTTGTTTTTCTTCTTTAACTTCTTAGAAACAAACTTTTCTCAGTTTACACACTTTTTTGTTGTGAATAATTTAACCTGATAAACAACTTGCTAAGAAGCCTTTATTGGAATCCAAAACAAACTTTCGCTTGCAAAATTTTTTTTATATTTTTCAGAAGAGTTCATAGTTTATAGAGGTTAGATATGGAACCTTATCTCGAAATATACAGAAGCTAAGCAAGCTGAGGTCTAAGCCGATATCTGTTTTGACATTTAACTAAAGTGTGCTCAGGAAAAGATTCATATTTAATATCAACAATATATATATTAAATATATTATATATTCACCGATATATGCATATATAAACCACTGGAAGCACAGATATCCTCACATTTGATATATAGCACCGATTTGGATATATTAAGGTGATAGGTGTCACACATCGGAGGCATTATTTGAGTTAAGTTGTTTTTTCATGAGTTTGTTATTGTAAATACAAATGAGTTTGTCATTCAAAATATAGTTATATTCGAACTAGGCGTGGTTGCAGTACGGTTTTACAATATCCTAGACAGTTTCATTTTATATAGCATAAAAGGGCATAAAAGGATTTTTATACTGATTCTGTTCGGTCAGTTTAACCCAAACAATTCCTTCGGAGATTAATGCGTTGCTTTGGATAAAAATCTATGCCCAATTTCGTAAAGATATGTTGTCAAATAAAAAAGTTTTCCATAGAAGAACTTTAGTTCGATCAGTAAGTTTGTATGACAGCTATATGCTATATATGTCCAATCTGAACAATTTGTTCGGATACTGTACCGTTGCCTTATACAATTATAAAAATCAAATTTCATGAAGATATCTCATTAAATAAAAAAGTTTTCCACACAAGGACTAGGTTTTAAACGTTCAACTCGCGTATATAGGTACAGACAGACGACATGACTACTAAATCGACACAGCTCATCACGCTGATCATTTATACTTTAGTATATGTTTTTATAGGGTCTCCGACCCTTACAAACTTCATGTCAGACTTAATATACCCTCTTCAGGTTATAAAATAAAAAATATCTTTATAAAAAATATAGATTTTATTTATGAACAAAATAATTTTCAATAACTCAAATAATTAATTTAACGTGCATGATAGTTAGGCACAAATTATGAATTTCATACATTTTAAATCACAGCCGCGAGCTTATAGCCATAAGAACGGCAATAATGTTGCAATGGTATGAGTACAAAGAAATAATACTTTGTTAGTACGAATTGGCACGCGAGGCAGTCATAATTGCAGCTGTTGTGTGCCTTACGACTACCCTGGTTTGCAAGATATTGTACAAAAGGAATATAAATAAAGAGCATTTGAGAACATAAAAGACATTAGTGTTCATAATAAAGTTGCAAGCAATCTAAATCTGTTAAATGTTAGCGGCAAACATGCGAAACAGAAGGTTTTGCTAATATAGGCGTTTTAATTCATTTTTATCGCTGGTTTTTGCAGAAAAAGTATTCAAATGCTAATTATTGTTTACAGATTTTGTTAAATACATTTCAAGGTTGATTATTTTGAGCTTGGAAAATGTATATAAGTTCGAAAGTTTCAAAGATATTAAATATATTTTCGAAATCGCTTAATTTGGCTTGAGAAAAATTTTTATGACAGAAAAAAAGACAAAAGATGTATTTTTAGTGTTCAAAAATGTCTTATATATTTTTTCAAAATTCTTACCTTGCACTAAAAATAGCAGCCAAAGCGAGGAAGCAAGCATCGGCGACGCGCGCTGTTGACGTGTAGCAACGATCGATTACCCATTCGAGCAACACACTACTGTCGGGATTCGATTCGAGTAGCAAAACAACTGTATCACGCGCTAATAGATAGATCTGCATTTGAAAAAAAATTGTTATTAGTGAACATAATATTAATTTTTCAATATTAAAATTTAATATTTCTATATTCTATATATAAAGTAAACTTGTTTACTTTTTCAAAATATTCGCACATGCAAAAAGACTTCGCTCACCTTCTCATCTTTGGATGTCAACAGCATGTCCAGCCACACATATAAAATACCATAATCGGATAGAAATGGTGCATAGAATATGTGACCGCAGCAGATCAGAGCGGATAGTGCCTGTTTTAAAAATAGAAACGGATTATTTACGCAGCAAAATCTAAGTATATGTATGTATGTATGTGTTCGAAATTGGAATACATAAAGCTTATAAGACTTAAAAGGCTTCGGGGTATGAAGAGACTGCTTCATATTTTCAAACAAATCTAACATTAAACAAAAATAATTTTAATTTAAAAGCATTTGAAGCTTGAAAGGAGATTTCTAAACCACCACACTAGCTTCTGCTATCTATAAGAACGAAACTCAAGTGGAACTCACCTGAAGAGCACTAAACTGTAGCTTCTCCTCCTCGGGCGTTTGTCCAATCTGCGAGGTGACACCCAGCGGCTTGGCAAATGAACCACACCAAATAGCAAAGAGATTGAAAAGACTGCGTTTTAAGCCGGTGGTCAGCAGTGTGCCACAAGAATCCACTGTAAGGGTAAATGAATTGATAAATTAAACAAAGTATTTGCGTAACTTGGAACAAAAGGAAACTTACGTGAAAAATTCTTTATCATTTTTCGTATGAAATTGCAAAAGTGCGCTTTCACTTCACGAATGCTTGTGTTGTCCTTATCCGTTTCGGCTAAAAGATATTGAATAGCGCCCTCTATGTATTCGACAAAGGTTGGATGTAGAGACATTGTATCGCGTTCCAGTACACATGGACTACAGAAAGAAAGCAACGAATGAAAATAGAATAATACACAATATGTAAAAATATTGATTTTTATAAACAATTACAT